AACTACTTGTACAACAACTGCCTAGCTAGCTTATCTCCCTCCCTCCCTCCCTCCCAAAATTTTATATACATATCTTGCATACTCATATTCTCAACAAACCATCCCTTGAAAAGCTCAATTTTAATTATGGGGCGCGGCGCGCTAATAATGTTGATCCTAATGACGACCGCATGTTTCGTCCAGCCGAGATTTGTGGTCGAGAAAAGCAGCCTGCGCATTTTATCCCCGTCCCGTCTCAAGTCGATCCACGACGCCTCCATAGGGAACTTCGGTGTACCTGAGTACGGAGGATTCCTGGTCGGGACCCTCAAATACCCGAACAAAACCCCGTTCGCTTGCTCCCCGTTCGACGGGGATAAGCCTTTCAAGTCAAACTTCCCTCACCCGACAATCCTATTAGTGGATCGAGGCGACTGCTATTTCGTGCTCAAGGCTTACCACGCCCAGCTGGCGGGTGCTTCGGCAGTCCTCGTGGCCGATACAATGGACGAGCCTCTGCTGACTATGGACTCCCCTGAAGAGAGCTCTGATTCCGAGGGCTATGTGGACAAGATCAACATCCCGTCAGCGCTGATCGAGCGCTCGGTTGCTGACTCGCTCAAGGAAGCTCTCTCGAACGGGGAACAAGTGTTGATGAAGCTCGACTGGACGGAGTCGATGCCCCACCCGGACCAGCGAGTGGAGTACGAGTTTTGGACTAACAGTAACGACGAGTGTGGGGTACGATGTGACGATCAGACGAGCTTCGTGAGTAGCTTCAAGGGGAATGCTCAGCTGCTGGAGCGGGGCGGGTACACCAAGTTTACGCCGCACTACATCACGTGGTATTGTCCCCAGCCTTTTGTGCTGAGCGATCAGTGCAAGTCGCAGTGTATTAACCGCGGGAGGTACTGTGCGCCCGATCCGGAGGATGATTTTGGGGTCGGGTATTTGGGGAAGGATGTCGTGCTCGAGAATCTCAGGCAGCTATGTGTTCATAGGGTTGCCAACCACACGGGACGCCCTTGGGTTTGGTGGGATTACGTATCCGATTTTCACATCAGGTGCTCAATGAAACAGAAAAAGTATAGTAAGGATTGTGCTGTGGGGGTCATCAAGTCACTCAGTAAGTATACTTACTTATGGCTTTCTTTTTTTTCTATCTTATTCTTTCCACTTGTCAATTTTGCTCATATCTGTGGATGTTGATCAGATCTCCCCAATGATGAGATAAACAAATGCATGGGTGACCCTGAAGCTGATGTAGATAATCAACTCCTCAAAACTGAACAAGATCTTCAGGTTTGTATTTTATTTTATTTTACTTTTTTGCTCTCTTTGACAAGAAGAGTAGTGTACTGTTTACTTTTGTGACGAGATGAGAGATGGATGATGGAATGTAAATTTTATTCTGAATGAATTCAGGTTGGTCATGGATCGCGTGGCGATATTACAATCTTACCAACTATGGTGATAAATGGTGTTCAATACAGAGGTTAGTTGACACTTAAACATTTAAAAATGTGTGTTCTAAGTTTTTTTTCTATTTTTTTTTTTTTTTTTCACT